CACAAGTGGTGCAAGTAGGTTTAGAAAATTGAGATCCACCACCTTTATCTTGGTTAACCTTAGGAGCACTTGAAAAATATTGATCTTGAGCCCTCTTCTTGAACCTAGGTTGACTTTGCTCATCGGATCTACCCCTCTTCACATTCCTATTCATCCTCTTAAGTTTGGACTCCTCAATGGATTGAGCATACACTATGAGCCTAGAAATGTTCATGTCATTATGGAGCATTGCCGTATGGCACTCTTCCTTGACTAGGTCGGATACGCCGGTCACAAACCTACTCATCTCATCCCTAGGGTTTGACACCAAAGATGGGGCATACTTAGACAATTGGGTAAACCTCAAGGAATACTCTTGCACACTCATATTACCTTGCCGAAGATTGATAAACTCCTCAACCTTACACTCCCTCATCTCACGGGGAAAGTACCTACCAAGGAAAGCTTCCTTAAACTCCTCCCATTCTATAGGATCCGCTCCCACCGGCCTATTAGCCTTCCATTGAGTGAACCAAATTTGGGCAACATCTTTCAATTGATAGGAGGCAAGCTCCGCCTTTTCTCTTGAAGTCACCCCCATAGCACTCACTACCTTATACACTTCATCCAAAAATTCTTGGGGATCCTCTCCCACCTTAGAACCCAGAAACACCGGAGGATTCATCCTCACAAAGTCTCTCAACTTAGAAGTCATAGTACCCTCATTAGCATTCACCCTAGGCCCCATATCTCTAGTCGCTTGAGCCTCCATGGCTCGAGCCAAGATTAAGAAAGCCGACCTAATCTCTTCATTGGTCATATCCGGGGGAACCACCGGAACCTCATTCTCTTGCTCACCTATAGGAACTTGATTGCATTGCACACCTTGACCATTTTGCACAACTTGGGGAGGAACTTCCTCATTCACATCCTTTTCTCCTACTCTCCTTGCGGGTCTCCCTCTTGTATTCATATCCTATAAACACAAGAGAAGGATAAGGATAAGAACACTTATAGAACCACACTCTAAGGCACGACTTTAAGAATATGAAAGAAGTGTAACTTCTAGCATCCTATAGCCTCTCGCTCATAGATGTGTCGCGACTCACACCGATGAACAAGACTCTACTAGACGTGGCTTGTGAGACTTTGATCCTAAAAACCATTCCCAAAATCTTATGCTTTGATACCATGTTTGTCACGACCCGAGAGTACCCCCTAGTCGTAACATGGCGTATTCGACCCCGAAGGGGCCTTATACGAGCCACATAGTCATTCATTGCATTCAATAATGAAAATAGTGCGGAAATAAAAAAAAAACTTATTTACATCCACACATTTAAACTTCTTAAAACAACTTTAAAAACACACAGCGGAAGTCTAAGTCTCACATGGTCATCTTAGACACAGTCGCAAAACATAAGTAGGGACACGGCCCTTTACAATCAAAAGAACTCTATTAAGTCTATTACATGAACAAAAGGACTTAAAAGTCTTATCCTCGAATCCATGAGGACATACCAAGTCTTGGAGGAAAGCAATCCAACACTTCAAACTAGCTAGGAGTGATCACTTGCCGGAACCTACACTTATAGAAAATAGAGAAATATGGAATTAGCACAATTAAGTACTAAGTATGATGACCATGCAAAACATGCTTAAAAAGGGACATTTTAGTTAGAAACCATGCATTATGCCACCTTTTTGAAATATCATGAACAATAGAATAAAAGACATACAAGACAAGCATAACATCAAGTAAGTCCTAATATCACCTTTAAACAATATCAACATGAAAACCTTTACCTTGGACTTTCACCTCAAGAAACCCTTATGCTATACCTCGTGCAATGTATGGATGACGTCCCATACCACCATCCATACTAAGGCACCACATTTAGGTCACTTAAAGTAACTTATCATTCCTTCTTTCACCTTTGCACAATATTCATACATAAGAGGTATATCATTAATTAAGACATGACAAGGGAAAATAACTCATAATATAACCCAAGTATAGCATGCATCTCATATTAAACATTCGAGAGCCAACATTCTTTAATAACCTCATTTAGGGCACATTTGTGTCACATACATTAGGATTTAGAGAAACTCACTATGACCCTCTCTAAGCCTACTCGTGCAATGTATAGGTAGCATCCCATACTACTACCTACACTTTGTAAGGCATATAAAAAAACCATAATAAAATCTCACATGATGGGAAGTAAGCGTTTAACCGACATAGACCATGAGAGCTTGTCATGGAATCCGGTGTCATGAATCCCCACACCGAAAAGAGGTGGTCTACTTGCCTAAGGAAGACCGGTATATATAGCTTAATGGATCCACTAGCTTCCTATGCGGGCACATAGTTTATGGGATAAGGTAGACGATCATTGAAACTCATGCCTAACTGTCGGGGGAGTTTCCATCTAACCAAATCCGCTCGGTGCTTAGCCTACATTCCCATAGAATAGTTCATTACTTTGACATCATCACACATGAAAGGGTGCCATAAGCCTACCGATTCAAGGTACATTATTTAACACATGAAAGGGTGCCATAAGCCTACCGATTCAAGGTAGATTTAGGAAAGCTCATTAACTCCTCTTGAAAGGGTGCCATGGGCCTACCGATTCAAGTCTCATCATTAACCTTTATGGAAAGGTGCCATAGGCCTACCGAATCCAAGGTTCATTACTTATCATTAATGGAAGGGTGCCATTAGCCTACCGATCCAAGGTTCATTATAAGCATGTGTGGAAGGGTGCCATAAGCCTACCGATCCAAGGATTCAACAATCAACAATATAATCATTTATACAAGAAAATGATGCATAAGCCCTACCAATTCAAGGTATACTTTATATTGAAGAATCCTTCATATTCTATCATCAACATTCATGAGTGTCAAATTGAGAAATAATCTTTCAATAGCAACACTTTTACGTTCATAACATGATCACATTATCTTCATTGAATTCTGATTCATATAATGTCATGATAACACTCCAATTTCTCATACTATGCCTTTAAGGCCATGGTCACAATACATTTCATAATTAAACACCTCCACCATAAGTGGATCAAACCAAGCAAGAACAATTTTTATCCATAATATGAGATTAAGCTAACTTACCATCCTCCAAAGCCATAATCAACAACACTCAAGTCCCAACCATTTTTCTTACCACAAGAGAATTCATCCATAACTTGCCCATAAGGCCACAATCCTCAATTCATCCATATACCAACAATACACCATAAAATAAGCATGGGTAATGACATACTCCAACAATCTAAAGACATTTAAACAAGTTTGATTCATATACATTCATTATCAAGCAACCCACTTCATAAAGGCATAAACTAGGAATAGAGAGAAATCATGGGTTCTTGAAGAAGTTTTATATAAAATCATCTTAAAATCATAACTACAACTTCAATTCACCAATATAATGACTTTGAAAACATTTTACCCATGAACCCATACCTAGAATAGAAAATAGAAATTTTGTTCTTTGAAGACTTTTGAAACCCTTTTTAATGGACTCCTTGAAGGAAAGATAATCAAGGATCAAGGGTCACCATACCTTTGCTATGATTCCCCAAGAAAATTGATGAAGAAAGCCTTGAATCCAAGCCCTAGCTCCAAGTTCTTCTTCTTCTTAATGGAGGATTGTAGAGAGGGAAATGTTTTAGGGATGGGAATTGAATTAATGGTATCTAGGAAATAATATATGCCCTTTGGAAAAAAATTCGTCCAACACTTAGAAAAAAAAAAATGGGCGGGTGAACAGTAAAATTAGCTACTGGAAATTGCCTTTTTCTGCCGGACAGACTTTACGAAAATGGGAATAACTTTTTCGTCCGAACTCCGAATGAGGTGAAACGAAGTGAGTTAGGTAGCTAACTCAAAGGGCTTTCCATGGATATATTATTGGTCACCCAAATAATTTGTGTGCTAGGAGATATGACCCTCCAAAGTAGACCCTCGAAAAAGGCTTCACTTTGAAATTTCGGATTTTGATACGGTTGCTCTAAAATTTGGGTTAGACCCATTTCCCACTCAATTTGACCCCCTAAACAAGAATATGAAGTCGGATTTTCGAAAAACGAAACGGATCTTTTTATATACAGCTAAACAAGTTTCCGGTAACTTTCGAAGCACATTTTTAAGAACTTTTGGGTCAAATTCAAATATAATCATTTCATTAAGTTCTCGACTCCAAACTCACATGTGAGGCTCTAGTTTCACTCTATCATTTTCCGAGTCGTTACATTATCCCCCACTTAGGAACATTCGTCCTCGAATGACACTTTAAACATATAAGGGGTAACAACTCAAGTATACAGCCCATCAACATGCATACAACATCAATACAAGTACATAAATATCGGAGGAAACATCAACTCCACATCAATGAGGCTCAAACAACTTCATGCAATTCAAGAAATTAGGAATACATCTACCAATTCCTTATGCATCAAGCTTTACCATTTCTCATTTCATTTGATGAACTTCCTTCTCCAATTTACATCACACTCATCCCAAAATTATTAGGCACATTATGCAATTTTCTCACAAAAGTACAATTATGCAACATTCTCAAGAACACATTTAAGCATGCCTAATAAATCAACTCATGCAACATTTAAGCATGTTCAACATTTATCCTCATGAAGCATATAGACAACTCAACTAAATGCACATCAACACGAGGAACACGTTTATGAAAACTCATTTTATCATTTAACAAGAATTCAAATAGGACATGCATAACATAAGGAGACCATGGAAACTCATTTTCACCCAAGACTCCAAAACATAAAACAAGCTACTAGGAACTCTTGGCCTCAAGCTTGAATAAGAATAGAAGGAATGAGATAAGGATATCAACACTCTCAACAACCTTGCTATTCAACCTACCATCCCCCACTTAGAAGAAAACCCAATTAAGGCAAACATGAAAAACAACACCATAGAAACCTCATCAAGACATTCATGACCATAAGAAACTAAAACTTACCGGCGCCTTCATTCGGATTAGCTTCCTTGTCCTTGCTAGCTTGGAGAGCATAGAAACGACCATAATTTGGAGGAATAGGAACCGTTCCATCTTTAGAAGCTTGCTTTGCCTCCCCTCCTCTAGCCGTAAAAGTAGGACAATCTTTCACCTTGTGATCATTCTTCCCACAACCATAGCATCCATTAGTACCGGCTAGGCATTTCCCATAGTGCCTCTTGCCACAAGTGGTGCAAGTAGGTTTAGAAAATTGAGATCCACCACCTTTATCTTGGTTAACCTTAGGAGCACTTGAAAAATCTTGATCTTGAGCCCTCTTCTTGAACCTAGGTTGACTTTGCTCATCGGATCTACCCCTCTTCACATTCTTATTCATCCTCTTAAGTTTGGACTCCTCAATGGATTGAGCATACACTATGAGTCTAGAAATGTTCATGTCATTATGGAGCATTGCCGTATGGCACTCTTCCTTGACTAGGTCGGATACGCCGGTCACAAACCTACTCATCTCATCCCTAGGGTTTGACACCAAAGATGGGGCATACTTAGACAATTGGGTAAACCTCAAGGAATACTCTTGCACACTCATATTACCTTGCCGAAGATTGATAAACTCCTCAACCTTACACTCCCTCATCTCACGGGGAAAGTACCTACCAAGGAAAGCTTCCTTAAACTCCTCCCATTCTATAGGATCCGCTCCCACCGGCCTATTAGCCTTCCATTGAGTGAACCAAATTTGGGCAACATCTTTCAATTGATAGGAGGCAAGCTCCGCCTTTTCTCTTGAAGTCACCCCCATAGCACTCACTACCTTATACACTTCATCCAAAAATTCTTGGGGATCCTCTCCCACCTTAGAACCTAGAAACACCGGAGGATTCATCCTCACAAAGTCTCTCAACTTAGAAGCCACAGTACCCTCATTAGCATTCACCCTAGGCCCCATATCTCTAGTCGCTTGAGCCTCCATGGCTCGGGCCAAGATTAAGAAAGCCGACCTAATCTCTTCATTGGTCATATCCGGGGGAACCACCGGAACCTCATTCTCTTGCTCACCTATAGGAACTTGATTGCATTGCACACCTTGACCATTTTGCACAACTTGGGGAGGAACTTCCTCATTCACATCCTCTTCTCCTACTCTCCTTGCGGGTCTCCCTCTTGTATTCATATCCTATAAACACAAGAGAAGGATAAGGATAAGAACACTTATAGAACCACACTCTAAGGCACGACTTTAAGAATATGAAAGAAGTGTAACTTCTAGCATCCTATAGCCTCTCGCTCATAGATGTGTCGCGACTCACACCGATGAACAAGACTCTACTAGACGTGGCTTGTGAGACTTTGATCCTAAAAACCATTACCAAAATCTTATGCTTTGATACCATGTTTGTCACGACCCGAGAGTACCCCCTAGTCGTAACATGGCGTATTCGACCCCGAAGGGGCCTTATACGAGCCACATAGTCATTCATTGCATTCAATAATGAAAATAGTGCGGAAATAAAAAAAAAACTTATTTACATCCACACATTTAAACTTCTTAAAACAAATTTAAAAACACACAGCGGAAGTCTAAGTCTCACATGGCCATCTTAGACACAGTCGCAAAACATAATTAGGGACACGGCCCTTTACAATCAAAAGAAGTCTATTAAGTCTATTACATGAACAAAAGGACTTAAAAGTCTTATCCTCGAATCCATGAGGACATACCAAGTCTTGGAGGAAAGCAATCCAACACTTCAAACTAGCTAGGAGTGATCACTTGCCGGAACCTACACTTATAGAAAATAGAGAAATATGGAATTAACACAATTAAGTACTAAGTATGATGACCATGCAAAACATGCTTAAAAAGGGACATTTTAGTTAGAAACCATGCATTATGCCACCTTTTTGAAATATCATGAACAATAGAATAAAAGACATACAAGACAAGCATAACATCTAGTAAGTCCTAATATCACCTTTAAACAATATCAACATGAAAACCTTTACCTTGGACTTTCACCTCAAGAAACCCTTATGCTATACCTCGTGCAATGTATGGATGACGTCCCATACCACCATCCATACTAAGGCACCACATTTAGGTCACTTAAAGTAACTTATCATTCCTTCTTTCACCTTTGCACAATATTCATACATAAGAGGTATATCATTAATTAAGACATGACAAGGGAAAATAACTCATAATATAACCCAAGTATAGCATGCATCTCATATTAAACATTCGAGAGCCAACATTCTTTAATAACCTCATTTAGGGCACATTTGTGTCACATACATTAGGATTTAGAGAAACTCACTATGACCCTCTCTAAGCCTACTCGTGCAATGTATAGGTAGCATCCCATACTACTACCTACACTTTGTAAGGCATATCAAAAAACCATAATAAAATCTCACATGATGGGAAGTAAGCGTTTAACCGACATAGACCATGAGAGCTTGTCATGGAATCCGGTGTCATGAATCCCCACACCGAAAAGAGGTGGTCTACTTGCCTAAGGAAGACCGGTATATATAGCTTAATGGATCCACTAGCTTCCTATGCGGGCACATAGTTTATGGGATAAGGTAGACGATCATTGAAACTCATGCCTAACTGTCGGGGGAGTTTCCATCTAACCAAATCCGCTCGGTGCTTAGCCTACATTCCCATAGAATAGTTCATTACTTTGACATCATCACACATGAAAGGGTGCCATAAGCCTACCGATTCAAGGTACATTATTTAACACATGAAAGGGTGCCATAAGCCTACCGATTCAAGGTAGATTTAGGAAAGCTCATTAACTCCTCTTGAAAGGGTGCCATGGGCCTACCGATTCAAGTCTCATCATTAACCTTTATGGAAAGGTGCCATAGGCCTACCGAATCCAAGGTTCATTACTTATCATTAATGGAAGGGTGCCATTAGCCTACCGATCCAAGGTTCATTATAAGCATGTGTGGAAGGGTGCCATAAGCCTACCGATCCAAGGATTCAACAATCAACAATATAATCATTTATACAAGAAAATGATGCATAAGCCCTACCAATTCAAGGTATACTTTATATTGAAGAATCCTTCATATTCTATCATCAACATTCATGAGTGTCAAATTGAGAAATAATCTTTCAATAGCAACACCTTTACGTTCATAACATGATCACATTATCTTCATTGAATTCTCATTCATATAATGTCATGATAACACTCCAATTTCTCATACTATGCCTTTAAGGCCATGGTCACAATACATTTCATAATTAAACACCTCCACCATAAGTGGATCAAACCAAGCAAGAACAATTTTTATCCATAATATGAGATTAAGCTAACTTACCATCCTCCAAAGCCATAATCAACAACACTCAAGTCCCAACCATTTTTCTTACCACAAGAGAATTCATCCATAACTTGCCCATAAGGCCACAATCCTCAATTCATCCATATACCAACAATACACCATAAAATAAGCATGGGTAATGACATACTCCAACAATCTAAAGACATTTAAACAAGTTTGATTCATATACATTCATTATCAAGCAACCCACTTCATAAAGGCATAAACTAGGAATAGAGAGAAATCATGGGTTCTTGAAGAAGTTTCATATAAAATCATCTTAAAATCATAACTACAACTTCAATTCACCAATATAATGACTTTGAAAACATTTTACCCATGAACCCATACCTAGAATAGAAAATAGAAATTTTGTTCTTTGAAGACTTTTGAAACCCTTTTTAATGGACTCCTTGAAGGAAAGATAATCAAGGATCAAGGGTCACCATACCTTTGCTATGATTCCCCAAGAAAATTGATGAAGAAAGCCTTGAATCCAAGCCCTAGCTCCAAGTTCTTCTTCTTCTTAATGGAGGATTGTAGAGAGGGAAATGTTTTAGGGATGGGAATTGAATTAATGGTATCTAGGAAATAATATATGCCCTTTGGAAAAAAATTCGTCCAACACTTAGAAAAAAAAAAAGGGGCGGGTGAACAGTAAAATTAGCTACTGGAAATTGCCTTTTTCTGCCGGACAGACTTTACGAAAATGGGCATAACTTTTTCGTCCGAACTCCGAATGAGGTGAAACGAAGTGAGTTAGGTAGCTAACTCAAAGGGCTTTCCATGGATATATTATTGGTCACCCAAATAATTTGTGTGCTAGGAGATATGACCCTCCAAAGTAGACCCTCGAAAAAGGCTTCACTTTGAAATTTCGGATTTTGATACGGTTGCTCTAAAATTTGGGTTAGACCCATTTCCCACTCAATTTGACCCCCTAAACAAGAATATGAAGTCCGATTTTTGAAAAACGAAACGGATCTTTTTATATACAGCTAAACAAGTTTCCGGTAACTTTCGAAGCACATTTTTAAGAACTTTTGGGTCAAATTCAAATATAATCATTTCATTAAGTTCTCGACTCCAAACTCACATGTGAGGCTCTAGTTTCACTCTATCATTTTCCGAGTCGTTACACCAATCCATACCTAGAATGACATCAAAATCTACCATGTCTAATTTAACTAAATCAGCCATGGTGCTCTTGTGATTGACGAAAATGGTATAATCACGATAGACTCTTTCAGCTAGAATTGTCTCACCAACAGGTGTGGAAACACTGAAGGGCTCAAGAAGTTTCTCAGGAAGAACATCAAAATTCATCGCGACATAAGGAGTCACAAAAGATAGACTTGCTCCTGGATCTTGTAAAGCATAAACATCAAAATTAAAGACTTTGATCATACCAATGACAACATCTGGAGAATCCTCATGCTCTTGGCACCTGGTGATAACATACAGACGGTTCGCTCCTCTGCCTACCCCTGAAGTAGCTCCTCTAGATGCAGCTCTGTCTGGTGGAACAGCTGAAGAAGATTGGGCTCTATTGCCTCCATTTCCATTACATTGCCTGTTCTTAGGGCATTATTTCATAAAGTGACCGTTCTGACCACACCTGAAGCAACCAATGGAGCTATCACGACACACCCCTAAGTGGTTCCTACCACACTTAGCACATGCAGGAGTCTCATTACCTCCTTGTGCCACACTACCTTGAGGCTGCACAGGTCTAGCTCTGGAATTTTGTGAATTCTGATTATTGAACTCACCTATGTTCCTTAGTGCAGGTGCACTAGCAGATGATGAAGCAGGTCCCTTTTGCTTATGTTGGAAAGATGACCGGTTGGCATTACTCCTCTATTGTCTGGACTCATTCTGTGTCTTAGCTTTCTTGTTTCTAAAATCCTCTCTATCCCTCAGCTTATCTTTCTCAACCTGTTGCACATGGATCATAAGTCTTGCTATGTCCATGTCCCCTATTAACGTAGCTTCCTTTCCCTCATTAGTTGACAGACGAGACAACCCAGCAACAAATAGACTCATTCTACTCCTCATGTCAGTAACCATCTCCGGAGCATAACGGGAAAGTTGGGTGAACTTAAGGCTATACTCATAAATTCCTGCTTAAGAGTGAGGAATTCTCTTAGCTTTGTCTCTCTTAGCTCACGGGGAAAGAAACACCCCATGAAGGCACTCTCGAACACAACCCAGCTCACAATCGGTGCACTCTCAACTCTACCCTTCTTCCATTGGTCAAACTAGATCCTAGCAACACTCTTCAGTTGGTATGCAGCTAGTTCCACTCGCTCACTTTCTGCAGTTCCTTTACAAAGTTTTCTGGATCCTTAGTGACACTTGAACTAGTGAAGCTTGGAGGATTCATCCTTAAGAACTCACGGATCCTTGAAGTATCAACCACTTCCTGTTGATTCTTTCTTTGTTTCCCTACTTGGTTGGTCACAACTTGGCTCAACATCTGGATAGCTTCACGGAATTCCGCATTAGTGACCTCTCATTAGGGTTGCACTTCTGGTGCATTAGGTACCCCTTGATCCTCAACATTTCTCCTAGCAGAGCGACCTTTGACAGCTCTTCGCGGAGGCATGATCTGAAGGATACACGCACGCAAGAATTAGAAAGAAACTTTTATAGAGATGAACTCTATCGCACGAAATGAGTATGAAAGAAGTGAGGTAGTTCCTAAATGTTGTAGACTCTTAATTATAGATGTGACACGCTTCACACCAATAACTAGGACTCTACAGACATGGCTTCATAGACACACCCTATGACTCTTGAACTACGGACTCTGATACCAAGTTTGTCAAGCCCCGAGCCTACACCCTGGACGTGGTCGACACTCGAAAACCATTGATGGCCCCAAGAGAACCCTTGGCCTGGCTTAACTACTAGCAGAGTGTTACTCAACAAGAAGTAACTTTAAAAGTAAAGTTGTAGCTCAAAGAACAAACTCAGAATTTATAAAGAAACACTCATTAGCCAAAATGGCAACTCAAGTCCAAACATCGAAACTGGAAATGCACAAGACTCATGAACTATATCTATATGTCTATGAAAACTCTACTAATTGAGATGGATGTCGGGATAAGACCCACGACATCCTAATTAGACTAGAATGATAAAGCAAATAAAAGGGGGTCCTCCGGAAGCAAGGAGACTCACACACAACTCTGAAGCTCAACTGGATCAACGAAGTGCTAGATGTTGATCCTGGTTACTTGTATCTGCATCATAAAAGATGCAGGCCAACTGACGTCAGTACATAGAATGTACGAGCATGAGAGAGGAATTCTAAAATAAGACATAAGCTTGAAATGGAATTGAAGAAACTTACCTCGTCTCAACTTAACTCAACTCATTTCAATATAAAGTAGTAATAAAGATGCAGTATAAAGAAAAGCTTCAAAACATGTAGATAACAACTCGGTGTATTGAAAAACAAAACAATAACTTAGTTTTGTATATTAAAATACAAGTAACTCTATGGGAGATTCTCTAACCAACAACCATCAGTATGAGCTATGTAGACACGTAATTTTTTATCGAACTTGATGTTTTACACAAAATTTAGGGTTAAATATTTTAATTTTTATCTTATTTTAGTTAGTTTATTTTAAAATATTTGTAAACTATAAAAAATAGAATTACATTTTAGGCTAAGTTTTATTTTTTATTAATTCAAAATTAGCTAATATTTTTATTATTATAATTTTTTGCACACTCCCATTTATCCTAACTACTACCAAATTTCCCACTCCCTTAAACGTCTCACCCACACTCACATTCCACTCAACTATACTCCCTTCCATGCTCCTTATATTTTGAAGCACCTTAATCTTATCCTATATATACTACCTAACATCTGAAAACAAGGAGAAGATCCTAAGCAATATACACTCATATGTACAGATCAGGAAAAAAAAATCAACCAACAGCAAAGGAAATACACACAACACGTACAGGAAAAAAAGAAGAAAAAAGAAAAAACTCATTCCCCCACTTCCAACACTACCAACGCACAACAAATCAAAAGAAATACCATCAGCAACCAAAAAGATCCCCCACACAAACAGACGAGCAAGAAAAAACCTTCCCATTTTATTTTATTTTATTTTTCTTTTAAAAATTCACTAACACATTCACATCTTTTCTTTCTTATCCATTATTTTCATATCAACACAAATACATATACCATCACAAGTAACCTACAAAAAATTTGTGGGTATTCTAATCGAGCTTCAGTTAAAATTTTGCGGTATTCAACTTTACTTTATCTCTTTATTTATTTATTTATGGAATTTGATGTAATTTTTTGACAAGTTTTCCTATTTTTTTATTCATAATTTGATTGAATATTGAGTTAAGTGTTAAGCATATCTCTATTTAATGAATTGAGATAGTTTTAATTGGTGGCTATCTCGATTTATTTATTTTTATTTGTTAGTTTTTATTTCTTAAAAATGAACGGGTTGTGGTTGTGTTCTTGTTTTAATTTAGATGCCAATAAGGATAAAATAGGGATTATTAGGCTCAAAAAATTAATGTTGCTTTTATTTTATCAAACGAAAAAAAGAGATTTATTTTAGTAATTCGTCATTGCTTTGTTAGATTAGTAAGAAATTGCTACCCGTGTAATGCTTGATTTTGACATTAACTTTAAGAGTAAATAACAATAAAAAAGATGTAATATTGGTGTAAAATTTTATCATGCACCCTAAAAGTTTAAATTAATTTTATGTTATTTGATTATTATTTTTATAAGGAACACATATTTTCTCTTAACTTTAGATGAACTTTTAGGTGTATTGAAAATTACCAGTTTCAATTAAGAATGCAGTTGCAAATCTTTTTTTGAGACAATTAAAAATAAACTCAAGGATGTGGTGACACACCTTGTCCAATAATATAATTAATTTTTATTAATTCAAACCAGGAAGTATAAATTGATATTATTAGGTGTGATGCACTCGAGAGGAAATGACAGTTATGCGTTAAATGGCAAGACCAAGAATGTGGTTACGCATCTAGGTTGAGACTAATAAAAATTCAACAATTAAAAAATAAGTAAACATTGGTCTATAGACACAAATTATCCAAAAATATATCAAGATAAGTATAAGTTAATAAAAGTGACTGTGTTAGAACTACGGGACTCGAGGGATGCTTAATACCTTCCCCTTGGTCAATAGATTTTCTTACCCAAATTTCTAGTTCGCTGACCAAAAAATAAAAAGTCATTTCCTTTTGGTTAGGAATTTTAAAAAAATGTAACTTGGAACACCATAACTCAATTTCAAGTGGCAACTCTAAAGACAAAATAAAATAAATCCTAATCAATATCGTCACTTAAATTGGAAAAATCCTATCCCGCGTGCGAAAATAGATGTGTGACAGATGGCGACTCCGCTGGAAAATAACCAAAATTCGAGCTTTATTATATTGGCTCTTACTTGATTTTATTATTGTATTTTTTTGATATATTGTGTATGATGACGTAATATGCTACTTTCTGCTCATTTATCACTTTTATGTTGTTGAATTGTATTATATTGTCTTCCTTACTCAACTATTCTGAGTCTCTAGTAACACTTCACACATATTCAAAAGAATACAATTATGTATCCTACTCTTATTGAGATAAAACTGGAGTGTTTTGACACCAGCGAAGGATTTTTAGTCACCAATGTTAGACGCGGTTGGATCAACAATGAAGTTGAAAAAGTCCTGCTACTGATAAGTTGCCCCTTCCTGGTTCGAGTTGTCTACTCGGGTAAGCCAGTTTAGATACCTATCTCCTTCACGTTTAAACCTACTAAAAGTGGAACATAGACGAGGTTAACACTAGTAGGATCCGCTTATTTGCATTTTGATTTAGTGAGACTCGAAACAAGAGTTGATCCGTCTAGGACAAATATTCCTCTCTTGCTTGATCAATTAGATCAGTTAATGTGCCACATGAAAAATGCATTTGTTTAGAAAGTCTTGAAACATAATGGATTTATTAACTCAAGTTTCAATATCATAAAGTTTTTTTAACTATCCAATCTGCACGAACTACACACACCTGATTCTCAACTTGATGAGATACGTATGCAACCCTCCTCGGGTTCGGTGATCCTTATTAAAAAAAAATAAAAAAAAGAAGTATTTCTTATTTAAAATAATGTTGAGATTATAATTTTCCTGAACTACGTTTGACCTGATTCTTGCTTTGACAAGATACGTAGGCAGCCTTATGTTGAGGTTCGGTCCAACCAAGAAAAAATCTAAAATGTCCTCGTTACAAAAATTGGGGTAAAAAAAGGGATTTTTTTTTAATCTAGAAAAAAATTAACTTGGTTGATACCAACATACTTAGGAGTGTCTATAAGAAATAATAATAAAGTGTTAAACTATTTAACAAGACATACCAACTTTGTTGTGACCTATAGACTTCTTTTGGTACCTTTTGATACATATATGTATTACTTAAGAAATTATCTTGCTTAAAGTTAAGACATAAAACAATTCGACCTCATTGTTTCATGTGCATTGTGTGGTGAGCTTTAGATATAAAATGCAAAGGCATCAATTTGTTGATCTAGAACTTGGCCTGAATGTTGGTTGAGGCAAAATTTTGAGCAACATTTAAATTGGGAAAGGATTATAGGCTTTATTTGATCCGATTGTGCCTCTTAAGCCTACCAAATGACTTGTTATCCATAGAACTCTCATTTTAAGCCTGAAACATTTTTATTTGAATAACCACATCTTAACATATATCCTTTTGAGTGCATAAATGCACTATTTCTTAGTCTCACCTCCTTGAGCTCACTATCAATTATCTACACATTGTCAATGATCTAAGTTGGGTAATAAAGTGAAAAGGTCAAATATGTGAAGGTAAAAAAAAATGATAAAGAAAAGCTAGAACGAAAAATGAAAAAATCTCCAACAAAAAGAAGAGAGAATGAGAAAAAAAAAATGAGGAGAAACTTTCAAGAAAACAAATGTCAAATGCTAAAATGAAAAAATAATTGAGAGCATTGTGCAAATTTTAAGGAGAAAATAGCAATTTTATCCCAAATAAATATCCTACCTTTCACTACGCTTACATTACAAGCCAATGACAAGTCCTATTTGATCTCATTTTTAGTGTTCTCATATTTGTGGATACTTACATGAGGGCCAAGCATATGGTATCTCAATTTAATGCATTGAACATCTTTCCGAGTGTGAGTGACTTTCAAAAATGTCCTACGATCTAAATTATTCTGTAATGTGTGAAAAAAGACTTTATTTGTTGTAAGGGCACTTGAAACATGATGATATGAATAATTCTAGTCTCTTAATTTATGCAAGATGAAGTGATCTTGTAAATACTTAAGTATGTTCGAGATACCATTTGAAACTATAGGGAGTACTCAAAGTTGACCTCAAATTTGTCTAGAAGTAGTTGAAAGTGATTCATATGCATAATACTAATTGTTGGTACCAACTAAAGTCAAAACGTAGACAACCATGAACTGATTCGTTTCTCAAAAGATGTCTTTTGTAGGAAAAATTAAGAAAAAGAAAAATAAATTTTGATTTACTTGAACTATGTTT